CATGAAAATGTGTCCGTGTAAACATTTTGTCCGTGTAAACATTTCGATCGTAGCGCCGCCACTGAAACGTCCTCGGACAAAAGATCAATCAAAGTTACTCTGATTCCGTACGTTCACAAATTTGTCCGTGTACGAGATTTGCGATCGCAGTGCCGCCAATGAAGCTTCAAAATCAAATTCAGAACTGAAGCATTGAAATAATAGAAGCGTCATATAAAATTTAAGCGAAATTTGTGTTGAATTAAGTTTATATTCGGCATAAAAACATACGTTGTTGTTAACNTAAAACAATAGATGGCGCCTAATAATAAACTGCTTTTGAACCGTTATATTACTTGTTCGAGCCGCTACATCATTGAGCACCAGAATATATTTTCGCATTGAAATAATAGAAGCGTCATATAAAATTTAAGCGAAATTTGTGTTGAATTAAGTTTATATTCGGCATAAAAACATACGTTGTTGTTAACAAATCGTGTCAGCAATAAGAAAAATAAGATTTGCAGGCAAATTCGGCCGTACACGATTCAGAGCCTGTTGTACGATTCAGAGCCTGTTGTCCGTTCGAGAGCCTGTTGTCCGTTCGAGAGCTCTTAAAAGGCCTAGTAATTCAGGGATAGATAAACGGTTAGTGTCCTAGAAGGGAATGGGAAGCAATTTAAACAAATGTTTTCAGAGAGAGCATTCATTTCATCTGATTCACTTAATATTGGTAAAACTTTTTCTCAAACTCACCTCCATTGTGTTATTTTTGTCTGCTTCATGTGTCGAGTTGTTGATTTGTTCTTCTAATGCAATCACTTTGTGTCTTTCCTCATCCAAAGCATCCAATGCGTCTTTCAAAGCCACTAACGTCTTCCTTTGATTAATCAAATGCTGCGACGTGAAAACATGATACAGAAAAAACTATTTATTACGACTGAAAGAGGCGATGCTGTATCATAAAAAAGATATTAAAAATATTTGAATGATTTGACAAAGACTTTTATTAATAATACTTTAATAGATTTGTTAATATGTAGAAAATCATTAATTTTGATACAGATTCATCTTCGATAAATGTTTAATATATTTTTCCAAATCTTCAGGAGAAAGCTCAGGATGTTGTTTTTTCAAATGTGTCTTCATGTAATCCCTTCTTCCGACCGCAAATTTACATCCATTACCAACTGGACAATTTTCTTTGATTTTCTTGTGGTTGATAAAAATGTGCAGAGCTAAATGCTGATTACCAGTGTAGGTCTTGTCACAATTTTCATAAGGACAAGGAGTTCGTAATTCAGTCCAATGATTTTTCTTATGTTTCAACATTGCTGCTCTATATTTGAATAAACTTTCACATTCAGGATAATCGCATTGAATATTTTTTTCCCTATGGGTGTATCGATGTTTGTTTAGTTGTCTCTGAGTCAAGAAAGATTTTCCACATAAATTGCACAGATGATTTCCAACGTTAACATGAAAAGAAATCATATGCTCTTTGAGTGTTCCTTTGGTGGCAACGGATAAGTCACAATGATCACATTTATAATTTTTGGGTTTTAATTCTTTTGGCATGTGCACTAACATGTGTGTGGTGAGTCTCGCTCTATCGAAGAATCCATGCCCGCAAACTTCACATTGGTGAGGCTTCATTTTTTCATGAACTCTTTGAACATGCAATGCTGTATTTATGCCTCGCTTTATAAGCTTTCCACAAATTTCACAAGGCAAATAATTTCTATGAGAATTTTGATCTTTTTCAAATGATTTCATGTCTTGAAATTCATGTGAAGAATTTTCTTGAAGATTCAACTCGCTTTTGTTTTCAATTTTGAATAATTTTGCAGTTTCTTTCCCATTTGAATGGTTAAGCTCAACTTCATTCTCAGCAGGATAGGAATTGTTATCAGATATTGTGTCAACAGTTTTTGCCTTTTTATTCTGTTTGTAACGGGGACTTTTTAAGTACGAATGAATAATTTTCTGTTGACTTCCCATAAATGAAAAGATTTCCTGAACATCGTTGTTTTGTCTAAAGAAATGAAAATGCTTAATTTATATGAAATATAAAAATAAAAAGAAATTTACCTTTCAGAACAAGATTTATTTCTAATATTTTCATTTTTAGCACTTTCTTCGATATTTTCATCAATTTCGAATTCTTTTTTGATTTCTTTTTCAGATGAATCGTCCTCTCGTAGGAATTCAGAGAGTAATTCAGTAGTTGGCTCTATAAAAAACATTGATGAAGTGTCTTCTGGCTCAATTTTAATCAAAACTGTGTTGTCGTTAGCGGATGAATCGAATTCAGTTGGCTCAGAGGAGTCTAAAAAATTTCTTAATCGAAACTGCTTTTCTCTCATTTTTCTTTTGAATCGATGAAAGTTTTCGACACTGAAGATGCAAAGTTGACATAGAAAATTTGAAGTTTTAGGTGATGAAATCAACTATAACGACAGTGAAAATTTGTTATTAAAAACGAAATGTGAGCAAACAAGAAATATTTACTTGAATTTCTAGGATGTCATTTATCATATTTTTGTATTTTTCATTTAATTGTGTTTGGTGGTTTTCTAGTTGTACGAGATTAAAGCATAACCGGCATTTATTTAGAAGATTCCCTTTCTTAGCTATTTTTGTTTCCTCGTCGCCTGATGATTCCATAATTTCTCCTTTCTTTTGTTTACTGGATAGATTATGTTGACTCGCTAAATGTTTGGCCATCGACGAAGTTCCAAAAGCTGCGCGCTGAATTTTTTTTCCGCAATGTTTGCACTTTGCAACATTTTTACTTTCAGCTTCAAAGTGCAGCCAAACCCAGGATTTTTTGGCTTTTGATTTTTCTATTTTTGTTTCCTCGTTATCTGATGTTCCCGTAATTTCATCGTCTTCTGATGATCCCATGATTTTTTCTTTTTTCTGTTTATTGGATAGATTATGCTGACTCGCTAAATGACTAGCCATCGACGACGTTCCAAAAGCTGCGCGCTGAATTTCTTTTCCGCAATGTTTGCACTTTGCAACATTTTTATCTCCAGCTTCAAAGTGTCGCCAAACCCAAGATTTTTTTTCTTTTGGCATCTAAAATATAACTTTTATTTATCAAAAAACCTTTTCCTTTATTCTAAAACTTATGATGAATGCTTTCAATTTAATTGATAATATGTTTAATAACCTTTTATCAAATTCAAGTTCAATATGAAGACACACAAATTTGTAAACAAAGCGATAGTGATGCTACCTTGTGAGTTTTCTGTCAACACGGATTTTGAATTTTTTTTCAAATTAAAACGGAAACGAGATAAATTACGTTAGAAATCTTAAAGAATATTTTCATAAGACCCAGAAAATAATTTAAAACGCTGTAACTAATAACTTTAATGGGAAATTTCCTGCAAGTTACTAAGTATGTAATAATTCAAATTCAAATAAGGAAAAGATGTCATTGAAGTTTATTTGAAGTTCTTTTTAACTTAAAAAACAAAAAAGAAAACTTATTAAAGTTAATATTGTAAAATTGAATTAAAAATAAAATCCAATCAGGTAGAAATAATGTAGTTGTCGTGACTGGTCAAATAGAAACAACACATTTAATGTCGTAATTTTAACTTAAAATGAAAGCAAATAAAAAAGGCGCAATTGTATAAAAAATACTTTTTCATTCGTACTGATAACATTGTCTTATTAAATACTTTCGTTTCAAGGCAATTAAGTTGTAGTTTTAAAGTTAATTTCATTATCAAATAATTTACAATTCCTTTGTGGCCATAATTGGCACAAGAATACTTGGTGGTCCCGCCTGAAGTAAGAACGGATCAGTTAATAACTCAGCAGCTGTCGCTCTTGATGCTGGATCTCGAACCAACATACGATCAAGAAAACGTCTCAATCTTGATGACACTTTATGCGCATTTTTTAGTGTTGGTGGTGGCATGTCTCGAATTCGTCGCATGGCTTGAAGTGGTGGCTCGTTAAAGAACGGAGGCTCTCCATCAATCATCTCAATTACCATAATGCCGAGTGACCAAACTAAATGACATGAAATTCAAAGAAAAATTCATTAAACCGATAAAAATCTCTCACCATCAACTTCTGGCCCATAAAGTAGTCTTGAAATGACTTCTGGTGACATCCAATAAGGTGTTCCAACAAGTGACTTTCTCTTGGGAAGTTCTTGCGACACTTGAGCACAGAATCCAAAATCAGAAAGCTTCACACGACCATCTGACGCCAACAGAATAGAATCCGACTTAATGTCACGATGAATAACTCCCTGACTGTGTAGATAAGCCAAAGCTTTCAAAACTTGCTTGCACACTGTTGCAATTTGTTCTTCATCCATTCTTGAATGTGTCACTATGTCGGTAAGTGCTCCACCTTCAAGATACTCCATCACCACCCATAACTCGTCATTCACCAAAAAGCTGTTGTAAGTCTCAACAATATTTGGATGGTGATAGTCCCGTAAGATGACAACTTCATTAAAAAGAAGTTCACGACGTTGTTGTTTCCGTAAATCCATTTTCTTAACGGCAACTTTACGCTCTGAAAATGATTTGGAAAAGAAAAATAATTGTAAGTCAACACAATAACTTTCAGATTGAGATTAAAAAACATTGCAAAACGAAGACTAAAAAATGTGTCAAGATTTGGGAACATCAACTCACTTGTATTTTTCTCTGCTGCTATCCAAACAGTGCCAGTTGAACCTTCTCCTATTTTAATGAAGTTCTCTAAATTCTCTCTTGGATCGCCTGTTGATACAACCATTTGAAGTGCAGATCGAAATTGTTCATGAGTTAATCGTTGTTCTTGTTTGTTGCCATTAAGACCTGTAACTGCTGATGTTCCAGTTGATTGCATGCCAGTTGAATTAACTGAACTTGTTACAGAACCTCGTTGTGGATTGTTGTTTGCAACGTCTTGATGTTGTCGGAATGCGCCAGGATTCTGTTCGAGTTGCTTTTGTAATTGCATTTGTTGATGTTGTTGGAAATGGTGTTGTTGAAGTTGAAGTGGGCCCATTGGTGTGGGATGATGATGAGCTGTTAATGGTCCTGGATGAATTGGATATTGTCCTTGCTTATTTCCTTCGTTAATTCCTCCATTTTTCCCATTAAACGGAATTGAATTATTATTACTCGGAATCAACGGATGTGGTTGAACGTTGTTGTTATTATAAGGAAGTTTTCTAACATTCGGATCAACATGATGAACGAGAGGATATGGTTGCGATTGTATTGGCTGTTGTTGAGACTCTTCTTGAACGGGATTCGGAATGTGAGGATCACGATGATTTAATCGAGGTGGACTTGAACATCTTAGCGAGTTAGATCGTGCAACATGAGAGATTTTCGGCAGATTAAATCCATTATAAGATGTATGAGAGTTTTGCATATGATCTGAGCCTCCCATTGATGACGACATTGTAGTGTCGCCGATTGTTGTTGCCAAACTGCTTTGTGGTCGCACAATTGTCTTCAAGTCGAGTATCTCTGTGGGCGTAATTGCAGAGGGATCAACGAGCTGAAAAAAGAAATGATAAGAATTCGATGATTTTTTGCAATTTTTGATCGATTTGCAACTTACAGGCATTGGACGATTGGAACTTTTCAGTATTTGATTGTTGCCGACAATCGATGCCCATTGTAAAGGAAGTCCAAAATAACGTCCTTCCTTTTGATCAAATCCAGTATGAACCCGATGCTCAAAGTTGGAAGGAAGTGATATTTGAGGCTTTTTTTTCTTCTTCGAAAACATGTCTGATGCAATGTTATTTTGAATTGGGAGGGACTGGAGGTTCCTACTGTTGTTTTTTTGTTGCCTAGACAACAAGAGGCTTTTTCATAAAGTTCTTAACACTATAAGTCTTTGAATAATTATAAAACTTAACGGAACAACACACAAACGATTAAAATTTGAAATGATAAATAAGAGAAAATAACAAAATTCCTAAATGTTGATACGTGAAATGTATTCGCAGGGCTAAAAACATTGAAATTTATTAAAAGAAGCAAAAATCGAAAAGTAAAGAGGGGCATGCAACGTTTGCCTCCCGCATCTATCGCTCTAATGACGAAAAATACGAAAATAAAACTTTAAAGTTATAAAAATGGAAGAGAATCAGTGTTTTATCTGTGCAGATGATTGCACCGAGTCGCACTTTTATCTTGTTAATCTTTCAACTAAAAAATATAAAACAAATTACACCTCACTTATCAGTGATTTGATAAATTCTGAGTATGAATTGAGAGTCTCAAATGAAAACAAAATTTGTGAATGTTGTTCGGTGTTGATAGAGAAATTTGACGAATTACAGCATGAAACAAAAACAGTTAAAAGTGTTCTTAGCCGACAGATTGCTAATACATACAAAATTGAGACAAGTGAACCAATGGTTTTTATGGATAAATCAAAAATTTTCATTGAGCTCCCTTCTAAAGGAAATTCAGAAACAAAATATTCCTGTAAATTGTGCCCTCGTTTTGTCACCACTTGCCTTGATACAGTCAATACTCATATACTGTATCATAAGATATCAACAGAAGGTATCATACAAACACAAGAACTTCTAAAAGAATTTAATTCCTCACAAAAACGAAACAATCCGATTGGGCGCGAACTTCCAAAGAAGGAACAAATTATTAAAACATCAATTCAAAGACATGCTGGCAATATACAAAAAGTTAAAAAAGAGGAAACTGAGACAAAGACAATTCAACAACAGGACACAACAATTAGCATCGATCAGGAATATGATGAGGAAACGCTGGATTCACTAATAGATCTGGATCTGCTGAAAGATCCACTTTGTGACTCAAATGTTAAAAGTCAGAATTGTATGATAGCTGGATGTACAGAAAAGTTTAATTATATCAATGATTATGTTCGTCATTTGAAACTTAAACACAAGTCAACATTGAATCACATTTTTGCTGTGGTTAGAGCCAACATTAAACGTCCTAAAAAAATGAGTCGACTTATGTGTCCATATTGCTTTACCAAAATATCCACAAACGAGGCGCTTGAATTTCATGTTAAACAACATGAAGATGCTTCCAAAGTCACTCTCTTCACAGATCGTGTCAATGATTTTGTTTCGAATATTATGAGCTCATCGCGCTGTCAAATATGCGATTGTGATATTCTCGATCCAACAGTTCTCGATTGCAATCATGAGATTGTCAAGAATGGAATGGCACCAAAAATCGATTGCATTTATTGTACGAAGTTCTTTTATAGTGGCAAATTGTACAATAATCATTTAGCTCTTGATCACAATTCATGTTTCATGTGTGGCTCGATTTGTGATGACAAATCTGTTCTTGCAGATCACATAAAGTCGCATTTAACGTAAGAAAACATTTTATATAAATTGATTGATTAACTAAAGTTTTCTTTTCTTGAATTTAGACACGCTGAATATCCTTGTTCATTCTGCGAAAATATTTATCAATCAAAAAGTGACAGATTGAAGCATATGAAAGATCAACATGTTGATAATTGCTGCAATTACTGTGACGATTGGTTCTTGGATGTCAATGAGTTACAAAATCATTTACGATATGCTCACGCTGGAAAAAGAATGGAACAGGTTTGTGAATCTTTCAATTTAATTGAATAATTAATTAAAATTTCATAAAATTTATTTCAAGACTCCAACAATTTGCGATGAATGTGGCGCCAGTTTTAAAAACAATGAACTTTTCTTAGATCACCAAAACACGCATCAGAAACGGAAAATCTTTAAATGTTCATCATGTAGCGAGTCATTTCGTTTCCGTTATCTTCTTATGGATCACATATCGACTGTTCATAATCGTACGATTGTTGACAATGAGACAAACTTTTATAAATGTTTCATTTGCATGTTAGGATTCTCATCGCAACATCGTAAAACGTTTGTGCAACACTTGAAAGATCATAAAGCATCAGCAACTTTCTGCACTGATTGTAACGCTAATCTTGAAAACACTCACAATTTTGAAGCTCATCGTGAACGTTCACATCAAGATTTCTCCTTTCTTGCTGATAAGAAACAAATTGGAAGAATAAATCAAAGCGAAAAAACAAAATCTGGCGGCGGTAAAAATTTACAGAATAATAGAAAACAAAAAATTGGTGGCAATAAGAAACATTTAACAAAAGATGTTAAAAAGATTGACACATCAAATGTTGTTGATGAAACAACCGAGAATTTAAGTTTAGAACAAGAAGATTTATCTGCTCATCACCAACAGCAACAAATTATGGTGCAAACTGAAGATGGAAGTGTCCTAAATATGAATAACTTTATTCTCACTGAAAATGGAGAGCTAATTATACAAAACCTTGAAGGATTGATTCCCAATGGACAAGAGAATGCCGACGAAAGTTCGAGTGGACAAATTCAAATAAGTAACTTAGAACAGTTTTTAATGGAGCAAGGTTTGACGACGGAAATTTCTTATATTCAACCTGATGAAGGTCAAGTGATCATTCAAAACGATGATGGAACTGTCAGTCAAAGTAGTCATGGAAGTTTGTTACAAAGTTATAAAGAGATTTTTGAACACGACGAGAACATTCCAGCTGATTTGATTGTATCTGGAGAAGATGAAAATGCTGCAACTCAGGGAATGATTTTGAATGGAGATTATATGACGATCTCGTCAATTGAGCAGCAAACAGCAAGCAATGGTCAAGTTGAAATACAAAACCCAACACAAGTTGATGCAAATCAATCAACACTTGATGAACTTGGAGATATTCTGTTGGAAGTAGCTGCAGCAGCTGAAAAAGAAAAGAAACCGAAAGTGACTGAACAGAAAATGGTTCGCGACTCTTTATGGGGAAGGAAACGTGCGAATGAAGTTGCTAACAAAAATGGTCCAATAAAGCAACGTGCAACAAAGCGACGACGTGAATCATCACCAACATCAACTGAACCACCTGCAAGTAATTTCTCGCAAGCTTATGAATTTTTTGTGAGAGGATTTGATGCTAAAAAGCATAAACATCTGTAAGAATAAATGCAAATTTAATAGTAAGAAAATGAGAGTGTGTGTGTGTGGCCTTCAGGATTCTGTACAAACCACAAAAAATTATAGGTAATATTTAAGGATTAGGTATATAATATGTTGAAAATTCTAAAACAATTTTTTTCAACAGTTTCTTTCATTTTTAATCATAAATATGTCGACAACTTTTTCTTTCATTTTTCTATACTTTTTTCTTTAATATTTCAAATTCCTTTTACTTTTATTATTAACTTGTTAGGAATGTTAAATAAATAGTAGCATAGAATTAAAATTTGTAAAGTTCAACAATAAAAATGTCATATAGATTCAAATAAATCTAAGAAGAAAAAAAAACATTTGATTAATTTAATTAAATTGCTTTTCAGTTGTCATTAAACAGCTTTTGACGTAAAACTTCATTGTTAAGCTCATTGATTTGATTATGTTAACTTAACGTTAATATTGTACTTAGGTAGTTTGTCATCAAAATTCTGTCAATAAAATTCAAAAGAAAATCACTGAATAATAAATCTTTCAGATTTTTTAGAAGCAGAATTGAAGAAAATGAAGTTTTTAATGTTTGGGCATAGCACCAGAAGAATCAGGTTTGGGTTTGGTATGATGAACAAGGGATTGTCGTTTGACTTAATTTCTGGTGCAATAATATTTATCACAGTCATCGCATTGGAAGCTTTCGATTTTAAATACTGATCTTAAATTACCTATGTATATTCGATTTGTTAATGTGACTACGCCAGTTTGTGCTAAATTCATTTTATAAAATAAAGAAGAAATCTGTACACAATGTTTAACAATCAATGGTAATACCTACCTACCTAATTTGTCC